CTGGCAAGCCACTCCCACCAGGTCACATGAACTTATGGAAGTTTGCCTTCATCGAAAACACACTATTTAAATTATCTATCAATTGATTCCCCTTTGCTGTGTCAGGAATGCAGAGATTTTGAAAGCCATTATATCAGTGTTTCTCAACCTCGGCAACTTGAAGATGTCCGGACTTCAACTCCCAGAATTCCCCAGCCAGCGAATGCTGGCTGGGGAATTCTGGGAGTTGAAGTCCAGACATCTTCAAGTTGCCGAGGTTGAGAAACACTGATATAATGGCTTTCAAAATCTCTGCATTCCTGACACAGCAAAGGGGAATCAATTGATAGATAATTTAAATAGTGTGTTTTCGATGAAGGCAAACTTCCATAAGTTCATGTGAACAAGAAATTAATTTTTGATGGGTTTTTCCCTTCAGCAATTCTTTTTTCCCTTTGGAAAATCTGACCCTGGATTTCAGACTTTGCAACAAAACTGATCCCATCCTTCGCTTAGTGTTGTTGCTCTTTTGATTAAAACCGTTGCCCAGTCCAGAACTCTGGTTATCAGGAAGAAATGTCTGGATAATTACAGATTAAGTTAAGGATTATGAGGATTTTGCATTAAACAGCTTCATCATTGCCAATGTGTGCAAATAACTGACATTTCTTGTTGTTCCCTTCTTCTGTTCTGTTAATAGGTTTAACTGAAGGTTATACAGCGTGCTGCACTTCAGATGCTTTGAACTTCAGCTCTCATTAACTTCACCCAGTAGGGGATTAAGGAAATCTTGTGTTGGCTGGGGAATTCTGGGAGTTGAAGTCCATCAACATCTGAAAGTTGTTGAGTCTGAGAAACAGTGCTCTAAAATAATCCGAATGGTAGCAGATGGTTTGTTTCTGATTTAAAGTTTGCCATTGTAGTTATCGCGTCGAATATCCAATACTTTTTACACCAAGGTTATAATGGTGGAGAGCCTAGACTCCATGAATTCTTTTCTTCAGAACTTATATATTAACACCAGTATCTTTTATTTACAGAGTAACTATTTGGTGTTCATGGCAGAGCTGTTCTGGTGGTTTGAAGTGGTGAAGCCATCATTCGTCCAGCCCCGAGCTGTAGGTCATCCACAAGGTGATTTTTTTTCTTTTTCTTTTAGTTTCTGTGATCTTCCGATCAGCTTCTGTTGTTTAACATGGAACATACGGTATTTCTGAAGTGGTGAATTATAGAAGCCTACACTGTTCAAGGTGTAGGAAAATAACTTATTGAAGTCCTGCTTTTATATTATGACAAACAACAAGAGGTTGCGTGGTAGATCATGCGTTCTTCAAGCAGAAGATTCCAGGTTGAACCCTGGCGCCTCTCGTTCCCTACACACGGTCTTGTCTTTTTTTTAAGGGGTCAAGAAGACTTTGCATGAATTAAAGCAGGAATACTACCAAGGCAGACAGTACCGTATTTTCACGACCATAAGCCGCACCGGATTATAAGCCGCAGTATCAGTTAATGTTAATTTTTCAAACTTTTCCCATATATAAAGCGCACCGGGTTATAAGCCGCACGTTTTTTTGGCAATTACTAACGAAATCGCAACCTGCCACTCCTCGCACTCCACACTACATGATACACCACCCCCACCCCCACTGTTTGTCCAGTAAGGTCGGGGAGGCGTTGGGCAGAATTGGGAGGGAGATTTTCAAAGAAGCGCACCAAATATGGAAAAAGTTTGAAAAATTAACATTAACTGATACTGCGGCTTATAATCCGGTGCGGCTTATGGTCGTGAAAATACGGTACTGT